CTTTCCTTTTTTGGTGATACCATTGTTGTTTCCAGAGCCTGGAGAGACTGATGAATTTCCTTTCCTTTTTTTGTGATACCATTGTTGCTTTTGAGTTGCCTTTCCTTCACTCCCACAGTAAGAAACTCCCTTCTTCCTGCCCCTTTCTCCATGAGCTAGTTACTCACAGTTGCCTGGAAAGTTGTGCTTTATTCAGCAGGCGGGGAAAATTGAGTGAAGATGGAAAAAGGGATAGAGTAGGCAGCACCCTCTGTGGTTACTAGATCCAAAGGAACTTTATGGCTTCATTTCCTTCATGATCCTCCAGTCCTGTTTTTGTCTTTTGTTAGCCCCCCCCCCGCCCCTTCCCCAGCGTCCCAGTTATTCTTAGTAGGAATTTTCCAACTTCCAGTTTCTTACTGCAAAGTCTGCCATCTCGAATTCCGATTCTTTAGCCGCTGGTGTGGGCAAAGATTAAGGAGTGTGTGTAAAAGGAAGGCTCTACTGATGCTTTTCTGATTGTGTGCGCGCGCGCACGGGCGTGTGCTCGTGTGCTCGCGCGCGCACACACACTCACTCTGACCTGAGAAACTTACTAAATTCGTTTTTGACAGTTTCATGTCTTCTCTGAGACTATTTATGAAGCTCCACTGGAAACATTTCAAGTTCCAATGGAGTTGAAATATCACAAAAGCCCCGAAATCCCGGACTTTTCTTTGTCTTTCTTTCTTTCTTCCTTTCTTTCTTTCTTTTCTTTTCTTTTTTTTTTTTTTTTTGTTACAAGAGAGATTAGTTCACTTGGTTAAATTCCTTCCAGAAATTTAATTTTGTGTCTACAAGGGCTTTTTCTTTGCTGTTACCTCAGCATTCCTATTGAAGGGTTTCTTTGTTTATTGATTCATAGTGAAGGGGACTGCCTGGCAGCAGGAGGTCAACACTTAGGTCTTTTAATTCTTTCAGGATTAGTTGTATACAACTGAAGACAAAATAAAACGTTAAAATGCCTTTCTTTGGTAACCATGGGATGCAAATAAACTTTGGAAAAGAAATATCTTTTCTTTTCCACCTTCAATAGAGATGGAAATTTATGTAGGAATGCCAGCTTCGGCAGGTCTCCTTAGCAACATGAATCTTTTGCCCCCTTCTCTCTGTCTCCTGAAATAATAGCCCTCTGATTGCACAAAGACTTTTCAGATAGGTTGGAGAAATCAGCTTCAGTTCCCATTTGCTCTTCAGGCTGTTATCCTTTTCTCTTGGCCTGGAATGTGGGGAATGAAGTGAAGGCAGCTCCAGTTTGTTTGCTAATCTTTCCTAATTGCCTGCATATCCATTGATTTCAGCTACAAAGAAGTTTGTAGCTGTTTTCAAAAAAGAAAGAAAAGAGAGAGAGAGAGAGAGAGGGAGAGAGAGAGGGAGGGAGGGGGAGGGAGGGAGAGAGACAGAGAGAGAGAGAGGAAAAGAAAGGAAGGAAGGAAGAAAGAAAGAAAGAAAGAAAGAAAGAAAGAAAGAAAGAAAGAAGATTAAGCAGGACAAAGAAGTAAGGAGATATAAGCTCCATGCAAATCTGGAGTCCATAGGACTGTGTAAGGGGAAAATCAAAGGCAGGGACACTTTCTGACCCTCTGCCCCACCCCCACCTTTATTTTGTCTTCATTCCCCTTAGTTTGGGTTCCTGAAATCCTCTTTAGCTTCATTTTGCTTAAAGAATAGTTTTGTGCCTCCTTAAAGATAACAAGATAGTTTACAAGTAGAGATGATTTTGTTAGAAGTTAGGTGGAACAATTTCTTGACTTTGTGTTGTAGCAGAGAAGTTGTGAAGGGAGGGGGCTAAAATACAGAAAATTGTTGTTCCCATTTAGAAAATGTGCTCTTAAAGATGTTATACACACTTGAATCTTCCATCTACCAGAGTTTGAGACAAAGAGGGACACTAGGATCAGCCTAGGAATGCCTGTTCCAGAGGCTGGCAGCTTATTCAGTCTGTTTGTTGTGCTGAGTAGCAGAGGGATAGAAGGAAAATGTCTGTAGGATTATTTTCAGAGATCCACTTCATTCTCTCTGTAAATACTTTAGGGAAAACAACCAAGGATTGTTTTACTGAAGGTCATTCCCCAGGATCTTCAGGGCTTAATTAAAAATCTTTGTCTTAATTAGAATTAAAACTGCCTTGAAGAGGCAAAGTTTTATTTCAAGAAGGAAAATTTCAGGAACGTTTTCCTTCTGAGGACAGCATTTCCTACTGAGGTGCAGTTTCTACTGAAACTTATTTTAAAATTGCATTTTAATTTTGTTACCAAATATGCCTTGTTTGCTGTTTATAACTGGTTTTATAGTTTTAAACTAGAGCAGAGCCATGCCTCTTGTGTCCTGGTATATTGGAGGTTGCGTCAGCACTTCTATTATGAACCAGTAATCTGGTTGTCACTCAGCTGAATGCTTTTCTCTGGAGTCTCAATTCGTGATGTGGGGGATAGCAGTGGCATTCATCTTTACTTGTAATTTTTCTAGGAAGACAAAAGAGAAAACTGCAAATTGGTTGTCATTGGTAGTGGGTTTGGAGAACTTTGGAATATTCAGTAATCACAAAACTATAGGCCATAAAATTCTTTTCTAATGGCTTTCCCCAGTACTTTTTGGATAATATTTTAATAAGCCTTCAGTGTTATTCAAAATGTTCATAATGTTTTAACTGCGGCTTCCTGTTTAGTTTGGTAATTTTTTCCCCTAGAGTATAGTAGTTAGGTTTTCACAGCCATAGCAATTACAAGAGAATAAAGAATACAAGTTCCCTAACCTCCATATAACAAAGCTTTCTAATTTTAGGATCATTTTCTGTTTCTTTTCAAAACAATTAATTTGTAGTTACTTTGTATGAAGCAGATGGCTTTTTACTGTCTGATTTTTGACGCAGCAAAAAAAGAAAAAAAAAAGAGAGGACATATAAGCAGCCCAATAAACATTCTTCACTGTCAGTGATTTGGAACAGTAAACAAGGGTGTGTTTATCCATTATTTATCAGAAAATTGCTTGATTAAATAGTACAATTTTCAAGGAATATTATTAATATCATCGATACACTCCCCTAAGTATAGCTGCATTTGTAACATGAGTCATTGGTAGTTTTGAAATGGCAGGGCACTCTGTGCTAAAACAGATGAATATTATTTTCAATGGATAGCAGGTTCTTTAATGAGTTCTTTAATGAGTGTGCACATATAGTCCTTGTTTTTAACTTTAGTATAAAATTCCCTTTCAAAGGGAATTTATAAGAAAAGCTATCTTTTGGTGTAGTTTCAGATAAATGGAACTGCCTGAACACCTGCAATTCTTAGAAGACCTAGCTAGCATACAGTGATTCCAAGTTCAGATCCATGTCATCTGTGCATATTTTGAGAAGAAACCTTAACTTGGAAATGTGATTTCATCAGAAACCTCACAATGCGATTTGGTTGAGGAAGGTTTACGTATTCCTTGAGAAGCCTTAACACCGAAGAATGTTTACATAGAGCTAGCTTTGTAACCACTTCAAGTGTACCCTCTCCCAGCTTCTTCTAAAAGAAATTCGAAAAGACAAATGCATTCATGTGTGGAAAGGTATTATTACTAGTTAGCACCCAAACTTTCTTAACTAATAAACTGAAGAAAACCCAGGATGAATTAACTCAAGATCTGTGTGATGATTCCTTCTTTTTAATGTCTTCTTGAATTTCAAATTCCCCAAAGGACAGTTTAATTTGTGGTCAAATAGAATTCTTCTTTGCCTCATAGTCACAGAAAGATTTCAATCCCCAGGGAGTCCCCTTAGTGGAGACTGGCGGCAGCAAACGGGTTTGACAGGAGTGTGAAAACTGGCATTTAAAGCAAAGTCTGGCATTGCAAAACAAGAAAATCACAACATAATTAACAAAACAAAAACTTTTCTGAAGCAAAAGATCTTACCTGTTGACAGGAAATAAACTTCTGGATTTTGTTTATTTCATAATTTATTCATAAGACAGCATAGAGAGTACGAAAATATACCCAGTATTTTTTTGTAAATTTTATTTAAATTAGAAACAATCTTATTTAACATATCAATCCCAGTTCTTTCTCCTTCCCATCCTCCTATGTCCCCCACCAACCGCCCATCCCATCTCCCATCCACAAGGGTATGGCCTTCCATGAGGGATCATCAAGTCATTTGGGGCAGGGTCTAGGCCCTCCTCTGTATGTAGGCTAAGAGAGTAACCCAACATGGGAAATGGGCCCCGGAAGTCCATTCCTGCACTAGTATACCCAGTAGTTTTGGGATCTATTAATGAAAATTTTTGTAGATATTTCAAAATGAGTCTCCAAAATAAGCTTTTGTATGAACTATGCTGTTATAATCTTGTGGTAGGACAAAGTATTATTACAAAGAATAATACATGAGATGTCAGGTTCCTTCTGACCTGAACTCGGCCACTCACCAATCATGCAAGTTCATAAAACATGTTAAGCTTGTCAGATGGCATGCCATAAAGATTAAATATATGAAATATTGTTTTTCTTTAATGTTATGTCTTTAGAAAAGTGTATTCAAAGTGATATTTTTCAGTGGGAGGAATTTTCCTTTTTAAATAGTGAAAAATTTTGCGTTAGTATCAGATTTAAATATTGGTATGAGTTACCTAGCTTGTAGAGTGTATTCAAAGTGATATTTTTCAGTGGGAGGAATTTTCCTTTTTAAATCGTGTTAAATTTTGTGTTAGTATCAGATTTAAATATTGGTATGAGTTACCTAGCTTGTAATAAAACCCCTTGTAGGTCATGATCAGAGAACTTATATCTTAGCAGCTACCTTTTTTTAAGGACTTTTAAAGGTCAGATACCTTACTTCTTCCCATTGTCAAAATAATGAGCATGCAATGCTTTTGAGAATACTGTGGCCTTTTGTAAGTTCATCAGGCTCTCAGTTTGTGATAGAGATGAACATTTACTCAATTTACTAGTTATAGGAAACTAACAGCACAAAAAAATCTTGCTGTGGGACACTGAAGGCCATGAATGCAGATAAGCACATAATGAGTCTAACACCACTGATCGATCCAGTTATCTGTGGTTGTAGCTGTATGACCTTTTATGGTCAGGGGCTGAAATATTGGGACCGTGTGATCCTTTTCTACATGCGTTTACTCAAGGGTTTGCCACTTTAGTGGTAGGATTGGAAGGCTTGTCTTCACTGAAACACTGTCCGGAGTACTTGTTTTGTTAGCATGGTGTCTCAAGATAATTAAACTAGGTACCCACAGAGTGAGAATTTGAAGAGAGCTGTCTTCTATGTGAAATATCTAGGAAGTCTTTCAGTGCATTCTACTACTTATACAGAGCTATGTGGTAAGCTCAGGTTTAAGGGAAGATTTGGACTCCACCTCCCATTGAAGCATACCTTCTGATCCAGTCTATCTGCACATCTATAAAATATTTATTGCCCCTGAAGTATAAAGAGAACCACATACATACCTCTTGCACTTGATTTTTCCAATCCATATGTAAATAATTCATAGCTAGGATACAGTTAGGATAAATTCTTCCCTTAGCAGATACATGGCTTTAATGATTGGTCATTTATAAGAATTTAGAATGTATTTTTTGTGGTGTGAAATGTCCATAAGAATATAATTATAAATATATGTGTGTAGCCAGATAGGCACATACAGTGTTCATCTAAGCAAGGTTGGAACTCATTAGGAATGGTTTAAATAATTCATGCCTAAGGCACTAACACATAAATCTATCACTCTTCAAAATATTAGAACTCTTGAAATTAGAGAAGACTCTTTTGCTCTGAAATATATATGGGATTGGGAGGAAATATGTAAATCCTCAATTTTTCTGTTCTATTGTAATATTTTCAACACAAACCCTCATTTGTAAAATTCCATGCATATACAAGAATTAAGGACATTTGTGGTTTCCCAAAGAATCAACCAGGAAAATATTTTAGGCTTTTTTCAGTATTATTAAATGTTGTGAAATATAAGGTAATGTTTTAAGGAGTCATTTGAGTATAATGCCACAAACTTTGCATTATTTTTTAAAAGTGTATCTTTTATTAGAAAAATGATGTAGCAAAAATAAGAGGTGAAATCTCCTCAATTCCATATTGTTTGTACCAAAACAGGCACTCAACTTAAAATTTAAGTTTTTAACAAGAGAATTTCTTCATGTCATGTTTAAGACTTCTAAACCAATATTCACCAAAACGTTGCCATAGTCTATTGTGAATGAAACCTGGAGACTATTCTTAGCAATACCATGTTATAGAAAGAAAGACTTCTTTCCTTTTTTGTAACCTTCTCACAAAGCCCCAGTAAGTTAACATCATTGACAGTCATCCTAATAGCAAGAGGTATATATGATCTTGATCTAAACTTATGCAGTATGTCTGTGTGCTTGGTTCTGTGCTAGGTGGGGAGAATAAAGGGATGGGTGAAGTAATTGATATGATTTAATTAATGAAATAAGTTTACAACATGCTGAAAATGAAGTAGTAGAAGTTCTCCTTCCCTAAAGGAGTGAAAGAAAGAGCTGTCTGTGTGATTAGCTTACCTCTGTTATTCTCTCATATTTACTAGGTCATTATTTATTATGGGCGGCTTTTTAAAGATCTCCCTTCTATTCTTTGAATGTTATTAGCTGCTCTATACCTGCTTTCCAAGCTTATAGTGGCTATAAGACCACCCACTCGTACTCCCGTAAACCCAGGTTTTTAAATTGCCATCTTGGCTTTTTAGTTTGTTTGCTTTTTTAAATTTTTGTAAGAACAGGAAAGAAACAGCCTTTAGTTAACCATAACCAACACATCTTTATAGAAATCCCTTTTAGTAGTTATTATTGAGCAGTAACAATGCTTTTTAGCTACTAGAATCATCAAATGCCAGTGAAAATTTCCTCATATAGCACACGAAGACGTAGCAGTCATTTGGCATGATGTTGGCTTTCTGTGTAAGTGTTAAAACATGCTTTAATACCAAGGCTCTTTGCTAAGCACTGTATATAACAGTTTTATTTGAGAGGAAACACCATATGTTACAGTACTCAGATTTTAAATTACATTTCCACTGAGGTTTCTAATATACAACTATGTGAAACAGCCAAGAGGTTCCTTTGTTTAAAAAAGGGTTTATTCTTTTAAAGCTAGAAAAAAGCATTGCTAAGGATTTGAACAAAATTATGACAGAACATTGGTAATTCACCTGAGATTTTTCTTTCCTTAAGAATTGACAGTAATAAGTTAGCTTTCTAAGTTGCCATCAACACAATTAAATTGAAAAGTTTTGCTATAAATATGTACCAAAATTAAATAAAATTAGTCAGAAGATCTAGTTGCTGTTTGATAAGAATGAGTGAAGTGCTGAAATTTATTTAAGTAGATCATGAAGAATTTGAGGAAAATTCATGGGGAGTGAGATAAAAATCACCAGTTTTGGTGATTTGAGTTACTTTTGCTTAGGTGATTTGTTTCATTTTAATTAAAATCATTTCTTCTTGGGAGAATTAAAGACGAAAATACAAGTGGCTGCCAGACAAATTTGATTGTGATGATACAAGTTTTAAAAATCCATATTTTAATTTCTAATGAGAACCATAGAAAAAAAGAACAATCCATTAGTACCTTAACATTATATTAATACATTAATATAAACCATATAATACATTTGGAGAAATACTACTCACCCAAATAATGGAACTTGAATTTTAAAATAAAATTCCATTTCTGTTCTTTTTGGTGCTTAATTTTGTGAAAGAAAACTATTTTGGATTAACTATTTTGGATTAAGAGATGTTTCCATAGTAGAACTAATCTCGGCATAAAATCTTTGAATGGAGTTCAACAACTTTATCAAGATTTGGGAAGTTAAGTTTTGGAATAATTTGAGAATGAATGCTTTTTTTAGTGCCTTGACCTTGGCTCAAAGTAGACAACGTATCCTTATTAATATTTTCCTTTCCTGGAAATCATTAATGAGTTTTGACTATGAAATCCCCTGGGAGAAAACAATTCTTCAACTAGGCAGAAGTAACATGGGCAATAGAATTTTCATAATGTACTGGCAACTTCTGACCAATTGCACGTATCACACTGCTAAAAATATGTCAGCACAATTCTGTAGAATACTAATCTATTTATAGACAATGGAGACTGATGCTAGAGAGTAAAAATACCTTGAAAGAGGACTCAGATTTAGTTCCTGACCTGCATGTTAATATTTAACTTAAGGCTGTAATGCAGGGGCTTCCTGATTTTTATCCTGTTACTGTGAAAGGAAATACTTTGTGCATGGACGTTTTTGTTTGTTTACTTTTACTTTTGTTTCTGTTAAGAAAAGTACACAGTTGTCTTAGGCTGTGGCTTCCCTAAGTTCAGCTCCAAAGCCTCTTAGTTTATTTCTTTGTCACTTTTGTCCATATTCTCTTGAGGGAATGTGACACGTACTATGGAAGCCTTGTTTCACTTTGGTTTCTAGTTCCAAAGTAATGTTATCTGCCCATATGAGCTCTCACCAATTTGGTACACTAAGGACATGCAGTATTTTCTGTAGACTGATTACCACCTGTTCTCTCAGGTCTTAGGAAAACAAATTCTGATTTGCAATCAGCTGGCCTAATGTTAAACACAGCACTACAGTGGTAAAATCAGTGTCACATGCCATTGATGTTCAACGGGATTGTTTTTTTGTGTTTACTGTTCTAGTACAGTATCACACCATTGTTTACAGAAATGATTAAAAAGAATACAGAATAGTCTCAGAGTTTTATACTGCAGCTGACTCAGTACCAAGGGGGAATTAAATCAAAGAATGAAGATAAATATAGAAATGAACTGATTTTGAAAACGTAAAGCAAATGACTTTAAAAAAACACCTGAAAATTGCAAATATTATGACAGTTTAATTTGCCTTATACCGTAAAGCAAATGACTTTAAAAAAACACCTGAAAATTGCAAATATTATGACAGTTTAAGTTGCCTTATACACATTGAATATGGGATAGGGCATTTTTTTGATATAAACTTTCGGGGAGTGGATAGATAGGAGAGAGCAGGAACTGGGATTTTGTATGTAAAATAAGATTGTTTTTAAATTAAATAAAAAAGATACCAAAACCCCCACTAAGGTAGAAACAAGCACATTCATGACTTTTTAGTGTATTACTCTGAAAATGCTTAGTGTTTTGTATACATTTACGCTAAATCCAGTGTTTAGACTTGTTGAGAAATGTTACAAACCCAAGCCTGGTACTTTAATGAACTAAGTATATATAAATTCTATTTTCTTTTTAAAAATTTCTCCATTTCATAGTGTTGTTTAGAAAGAAAAAAAGAAATGCTACCTGTTTGTCTGTGATTTCAGGATTACCTCTTGGCCTAGCCCTAAGGCTTAAATCATGAATTCTGGGTAGAGACTCTAAGCAGAAGCCCTGTCCATAGCTTCAAAGAGCCAAACAGACTCCTGAAAAGCATACCAAATGTCCTTGATTATAGTAGCTCTTCCTAACCACTGTTTCAGCTTGTGAATTGAGTGTCAACTGTAAAGTTTGGGTCCTAGGCAACCAGCCTGAGTGAATCCTTCCAAGTGGATGTACTGAAAATAACTTAAAACTTGGCATTTTCTACTAAGAATATAGTTTTGGTATGCTATTTCAAGCCCAAGCTTCTGGCCAGCACAGAGACTGTCAAGGCCCATTTCTAGTACCTCCTGGAAAACAAAACAGTTTTTCTGTTTGAGCTATAATTCCGATTGCAGACCAAAGGGAAGTGGGGCAATATTGCAGCAATGATGGTGCTGACTATCCTTGTTGACTTTGAATGTAGAGAGATAGTTTTCTTTAGTAATAAAGCCAGACAAAAAATATATGGCACTTAGTAGAAAACACAGAACTGCTTCTGTTCATATGCTTTTAATGTATTTCCTGGCCTACAAGATGTTACTTTCTTAATTTCTAGTTTTTTAAATGACTTATTTTCCTGTTTCTACTACTGCATTTTCTATTTCCTGTATGGAAGGAAAAATCATTGTTTGAGAAAATTCATCTTTATATGAAATTATGATCTGTTTTGTTTTTATTTGCAAATTTGGATAAGTATCACTTGGTATTACACATTCCATTGGCATTATTATGTGATTTCAGTTGTTTAATTAGCCTTTGCCTAGAAAAATTGCTTAACATTTGAAAATGAACTAGACCATAGTCTAGGACATAGTAAACACCAGCGTACCCCTCCTTTTTTGTTTTGTGTGTGTGTGTGTGTGTGAGAGAGAGAGAGAGAGAGAGAGAGAGAGAGAGAGAGAGAGATTGTGCAAGGTGTGTGCAAGGTGTGCATACATTTTTATGGTCAGTTTGCTTGTGGAGTTAGTTGTCTTTTTCAATCAGATGTATTCCAGTCATTGAACTTAGTTCCTCAAGCCTGGAAAATATGTGCCTTCACTTGCTGAGCTGTCTGAAGGTCTCACAGAAATCATTTTTGTAATTTATTATTGTTAGCATTTGTTCATTTATGTGTCTGTGGCTAGGTTTTTACTGTCTTAGTTAAGCAGTTACAAATCTGAAAGTATTTGGCTTTTTCTCCAAAAAATTTTGCTGAGTTTATTTCTCAGTCTGTCTGTAAAGAATGCAAATAAATGAATGACTTGGGTATTTGAGGCTATGAAAGATAGGCAATACTGGCCAAGATTATTTCTTGTCCTACTTTGAGTTGAAAGTAAAAGTAGTGAAATTTGGTTGCATGAAAGAACTTATCAGGAAAATCAATTTATTATGTTTGTATTGATATTTTTAAGGAAGTAGCTACTTAGTCGTACCTTTATTCAAAGAAAGCTAAGATTTCTTTTAAAGTGATACATTTTCCATAGTGTAGCTGCTTAAATGCCAGGTTTTTCACTGCTCTGTAAATGCACATAGATGGATTTTACTCTTTTCTTTGTTCCCTATTAGTTGCTTTGTTGTAATCATACTGAATTTTTTTTTCAATTCACAAATTTCACCTTAGGAGTTTCCAATGTCAGATAACATACCAGGCATAAACTTTTTGAAAGTAGTTTAGAGGTTTCCAAGTACAAGCATTATTTGTCTTTTTAATTCAAAGCTATGTGCTATTATGGAATAAAAACGTCGTTATATGGCTATCCTTTTAACTTCTGGTTGACAGACATATAACACTTTTTGTTTGAAGTTATATGGCTTTGTTACAAATAGATGCATTAAAAATGCTCTGTACTTTCTTGTTATTTATGTTTATATTTTAAGATGTGTGGATATGTTTTATGTATTTGTTTCCTGATTGTTGTGCAGGTTCTAGTTGAAAATCAGTGAAACATCCAGAACTTTTTTGGAGGCAAGGATGTGAAAGAGTGTTCAAATATAAATACAAAAATAACATCTTAAGGTTTACCTGCTAACCCGTTCTCATACTTCAGAATACAAGAAGCTTTTTAGAAGGAGATAATTTCAGAGGGACTCATCAAAGTGTCATGGATTATGGACTCTGAGTAAAATGCATTGCAGTTTAACATTAGATTAAATTTTATTTCCATTTCCTGTGCATATATTAAACTGAGGAGCAGAAGAGGCATCCTGGGAATTTCCTTCAAAGTACCACCACTGTAGTGTGTCAATCCCTATAGTATTCCTTATGTTATGCTTCCTGATCTATGTGTACTTTATAATAATTTCATCTTCCTTTTCTTTACTGGAAAATTGAAAATCTTTCTCTCATACCATTGCTACATCCTTACAAGAATAAAATTGTCGTCAATGAGATTTAGCTTTTAACTGAATCAGAGGCAGGGCAATCGTTCATTATAGCTTTCCTTGTTCTTGATAAAAGAAAGGGGCTGAGCAATTAGAGTCTAGTCTGCCTCCCTGAAATTCTTTACTTTAGAAACCATTTTGGTAAGGGTGACTAAAGCAGTCAGAAACACATGAAATGCAATAAATAAAGCACTAACTAACGTTCCTGATAGGAATTAACCAGGGAATTTTTTTTAGCAATGAGGGATAGCAAATTAAAACTTGGAGTTTTTATGAGGCTAAGGAAGGCTTTCCAAGAAGGAAAGGAATTTTAAAATTATGTTTTGTTGTCACATATAATAATGAGATGATCATTACATGCTTAAAAGAAAGAAGCAAAATAGTTCATATCATTTATTAACAGAGCAAAATAAATTGGTCATGGCACTGGATCTTGTCATTAGTCCAAGTGTTGACGGGGAAAGGGCACAAGGGGGGAGTTTCTTGCTGATGAAAGTATCTAAAATCTATATCTGAATGGAAATTTTATGCTTATCCTTATTTTCTATAGTTAAGAATTGTGAACTTGTTAATTCAATAAATATTTAAATCTTAATATTGAAAATAAGTAGGTCATAGTGAGGGATGCTCAATTTAACATTAGTGGAGCCCATGTAAGAAGTGTGGCAAACCTCTGCCCTAAAAACTCTGCTGAGTTAGCAGAGGAACCATTTCTGAATAAGGACATTAATATTAATTTTTGTTGCAAAACATTTGAAACCCCAAAAGATGCTTAGCATGCAGTAAAATCACTTTCATTGAGCTGCATGAAAGTGAAAGGTGCTGAACAGATCTCTGTTGATTCTTTGTAGCCTTATTGCCTTGCTTTTCTTTTCTTTTTATTTTACTTTCCAGATTGGCAGATTGCTACTCTGGCTTTACTCCTTGGTGGTGCTGCCATCATTCTCATTGCCTTCCTGGTGGGTTTGATTTCCATCTGCGTGGGATCTCGAAGGCGCTTCTACAGACCTGTTGCTGTCATGCTTTTTGCAGCAGGTAAATATATTCATTATATTCAAACCAGCATTAAAGATTCATGAACCTTTCTACCATTCTCCCTTCTCATGAATCAGTATGTGTTTGCTACTTGCATAAAAATTGAGAGGCATTTGTTACATTTTAAGGTAAATTGGCTAAAGGAGTTTCATATTATCAGTTTTCAGCATGTTAAGCATGTCACATAACAGTGGCAACTTCTAAACTTCTTGCTAAAGCATGAATAAATAAACTTCTGGGGCTGGAGATACAACTCAGTATTACAGTGCTTTCTTAGCATGACTTGAGGCTATAGGACCCAGAGTTTAGGTTCAATTCATAGCACTGCCAAAATAAAAACCCCAAATTCCCCCCCCCGAAAAAAACCTACACAGGGCTGCTAGAAATTGTCTCAGAAGTGTTTATCAAATCTTTGTCCTTTGCTATTTTTATTTTAATCATCCAGACTCCCCTAACCTGAACCCAAGCCTCCTTTGTGAATTTAGGACACTAACAATATCTTTAAAAAAATCTGGCATGAAACAAGAAAAGGGAATTTCTTAAAAATATACTCCTTTGTAAAATAATGGGAAAATCATGACAGTTAATGTGAACCATCAAAGAAGTTAATTATATGAGGGCAGTTGGATGTCTATTAATTTGACAGCCATTATTCTGTGAAGCACATTTTAAATTGAAATATCAAACAAGGTAAACAAAAGACCACAGCTGTGTTTAAGAAGAAAATGTGTGTGTGTGTGTGTGTGTGTGTGTGTGTGTGTGTCTATGTGTGAATGGTGGGAGATTGGGGGTTGGCTCATGGTCTTAAGGATTGTTACAAGCCCAGTTCATTATATGATACAAGTTTTGATTTTCAGTTTTAAGAATATCCTTGAATATATTATTCATTTTGACTTTTAACTGAAATATTCCTGTGGTATCTTCAAATTTCCCTGTCAGTCATATCTTATTTGAAGCCTACAAAATAAGCCCCTGTGACTGTCAATAATGAAAATACTGACAGAACCATCTAGGCTCTTGGAGGGTGTTTTCAAAGCTGTTTAAAACTGGAATAGATCAAATTTCTCAGGATTTAAAGGGTAGTGTGAGCTAAAACTACAAAAACCTAAAGTGTTCTACTGCCCCCTGCTGCTTGTGTTCCTCTTATCAAAAATAAGACTGATCAGAATGTAGGCATAAAGTCCAAGCCAGGCAGTGGTGGTAGAGGCCTTTAATCCCAGAACTCAGGAGCCAGAAGGCAGCTACCTGAGTTTGAGGTCAGCCTGGTCTACAGAGCGAGTTCAAGGATAGCCAGAAAAACATGTCTCAAAAGTCCAAAAAACAAACCAAAAAAATTAATGAATAAAATAAATAAACCAAAAACAATCCAAAGGGCTGAAATGAAATTTAGAAATATGTCTAATTTACTTGCTTAAATGATCTATTTAAGGTCAAGTAATGCCTGGCATACCTGGGACTACAAGACAATAAATCATAAAAATGTGGATGTCGGATATGGAATAAAAATTGTATTAAGATGTCTGTAACACTGGTCAAAGTATTACCACAAAACATTTTTAGCCTAAATTGGGGACAATATAGTACTAAATAAAAAACACCTTTGGTAGTCATCACTATTTGCTAGCATATTTCTTGTTTCATTGATTTACCAGTGGCTCTTTGTCTGTTTTAGAATGAACAAATGTAGATGCTTTAACTGAAGTGTGCATTTGTCTTTTAAGCTTAGACCTAAGAGCAGAGCAATGAGATAAAAGTTGAATTCTTTCTGATAAACTGCACTTTATGATATGAGAGACTTTAAAACTGGGATTGTTACAAGCCATTTTTACAGTAATAGACATTTCTTATTGTAGGATGGCATAGAGTTATTCTACTTATTTTTTACTATCCCATGTCACTGTGAACACTTAGCTCTTTTTCCATTTAGCCTTTGACTCACTGCATCATGCCAAGTGAAAACTTTGTAAAGAAGTCCATTGCTAACACCGTATAGACATTTGTAGAAAATCAACTAGGAGTTGCCTTTTTTCTCCTTCAAATATATTTTTCCAAGAATAGAAACATTGGTGAAAATAAGTACTGGTTATAAAACAATATATTGGTAAAGATTTGGCCAGAATAAGGTTTTTGATTTAGCTTTAGAGATCACATCTTAGTAAATGATAAACTAATGAAAGGAAACCCTGCAAAAAGGTACATATAGTGTTACTCCATGCATCGAGCCCTACAATGAGCTCTATACTGATTACTATAATGTAAAAATGGTCATACCCTCATATTTAATTATTCTCTTTTTCTTTTGGCATTGGTTATCGAAACTTGTTTTGAAATAACCAATAGTTTAATGTTGGCTTTTCATATAAACAAGATTGATCATATTGTTTACTTGTAAAATACTATGGAAAGCAAATAAATCATTACATTTGTTTGATTTTTAAAAACTGCGTTGATTGCCCATAGTAATCAATTATTAATTTGGATTTTCAATTGAAAAACTTGGAAAGTCTACATAATTGAAACTAAATATATTGAAGCAGTTGGCTTACCTTGCTTGGAATTCATTTCAGTGACCTTATAAATGCATATCTATATCTAAGAGCATTTCCTTTCAGTTTGTGTTGGCATTTATGAAAATAGTAATAATTTCTTTTAACAAAATGTTTTCCTCTACAAATATCAACAAGCTGTTTGCCACCAACCAATGCCTGTGTCTGCTCATATAGAGAATGATATATATGAAAAGAAACATTTCTTTTCTTTTGCTGAGATGGGCAATACCTGTATTCAAAACAGACATACCACTTCCATTTAGAAAGCATTCTACATACTTCTATACCAGGAATTCATGAATACTCAAAAATAGTTTGTAAACAGTGGGAAGTGATGCCCAGCTATCAAATTACTGTATTGGAGAGCCATGGTTTCAATTGAGAGAATCAATCTGACATAAAAGACTAAGATTCCTGAATTATCTTACAGGTTACCTATCATATCCAAAATAGCTAGCAGAATCATCTTGATTTTGAATTTACGTAACAACTGTATTGCAGGTGGGTCTGTCTTGCAAATGCAGTTTCAGGAATTATACTTAAAGGAAGTCAGAAGCTTTATATGTCATAAAGTCCACAAACTGACTTGTACTACATAATTGACATGAATGTTTTGAATGTTTTAATTGACAAACACCTGTTTAAAATGGGAAGCCAGATATTGTGTTTCATGCCTGTAATTTCAGTACTTAGGAGAAAGAGGTATGAGGTGGGAGGATTGATACAACTTCAAGACCAATTTGGCCTACATATGGAGTTCTAGGTCAGCTACGGCATACTTCATAGACGGACTTTATCTAAAATCTAAGCAAGCAGATAAAACAAAAGACAATACACACAGAAATTAGTATCTTGAAGCTCCTCTCATGTTTCTAGCCATACAATTACATATTCATGATTTTCATTGTATCTTTTGAAAAATAAGGAAGTAAATTGCAGATTTTCTTTCAATTCTGAAATGCTTCACAACTTTCCAAGTGCTGTATCTGATGAAGGGCAAAGCATTACCACAATGACCATTAAATTTATATTATATTTCATTGATTGGTGGTGAGATAAAAATATGGCATGGTGTCATTGTGTTATACTGCAAACTTTGGTCTGCCCCTTGCAGAAATTTCTCTTAAGTAAGGAGACATTTGTCTTTTACTATATTATCGTAATAAATGAAGAAAACATTCAATTGCCATTCTAGGTTTATATTTTCTCAGTTTTTCTATTGCATGCAATTTTCTCTGTGGTTCTGGAAAGGATAACAGAATTCATAGGGATAAATCATTTTAGGGTAAATTTTCATCTTGTTTTAACACAAGAAAGGTCTAAGCAAGTTATTCAAGAAAGCTTGCCACAGAACCCTTAATGGATGTGTATACCCACTTGCCCTCTAACAGGAACTTATGTCATTACATTATACCATGGAGGTTCAGATTTTTGCTAAATAAAACATATTGAAATGAATCTTTAAAACAGCCTAGGTTAACACATTAGCCTAGGGACTGGCTGGTTGCTTTTTTAATTATTTCCAGTTGGTTATGATTTCTTTGCCCACATTTCTCTAGCAGCTGCCTTTCTCTTAGATTGAAATCCAAAACACTAACTGTGGTCTTCAGGTTGAGACCTGACCAGGAACTGATGCTTGATGGTTTTGTATTGGGTTTTGTTTGCTTTCTTTGTTTTGGTTTATACCCTCTTTGCTGTGTGAACTAGGACCACAGTATTGACATCTTCCTTATTCCAGAGGTACATTTCTTCTCAGGAATTTAATACTGCCTGTTCCTTGGACATTTAATTCCTGATATGTTGACTTATAACTCCATTAAGGACTCATATCTATGCTCCTGTTTGTCACCTTCCCAGAAGAATCTGATTCCTTAGTTAATATAAAAAGCAGCTCTCACCTCTTTTTTCTGGTTCTTCTTGGATCTTAGTAGTACTTGGTTTTGTATACAGAGTAGATTAATATGTTTATTGATTGTTAACAAGGGAAACAAAGCTGCTATTTTCATGTATGAAGGCAGTCCATCAGTAAATGCGTACAAACTAAAACTATAGCCACTGTAGTAAATACTTGTGATCCCAGCCAGTACTGGGGAGGCTGAGGCAAGAGAATCATGTGGTAAAGGCCAGACTGGGCTACACAGCAACAATTTTCCTCAAAAGCCATCAATAATGCTTTAGATTGTATAACTCAGAAACATTCAAATATTCATTGAATGGATTAATTTATCAGATAAATTAAATGATATATGTAATTTACATCACTATTTCAATTGTATACTGGATACCTTAGGCATGATTTAGTGATGAAAGTAAAAAAAAAAAATCTAAGAAGACAAGCCTTTAAAAGGGGGAGAAAACCTTGCTCAGTACCTAATGTTTGGTTTTTTACATGGGTGTAGTAATTGATTCTTTAATATTACAACATTTAAACAGGAGAGTTTCCTTTCCTCCACTAAGTCAGAGAGCCAAACATTTTATCCAACTTTTTTTATTTGAATTAGAAGCAGGATTGTTTTACATGACAATCCCATTTCCCTTCTCCCACCCCTCCTCCCCTACCCGCCCTCCCAACTAAAACCTTAGCTGTCACATATCTTTTCTGCTCAGCCTGAATGGTGAGGCCTTCCATAGGGTATCATCAGAGTACTTCGTTTCCTTTGGGATACGGCCTAGGCCCACCCCCGTGTGCCTTGGCTCAGGGAGTATTCCTCTATATGTACTGGGCTCCCAAAGTCCACACCTATGCTAGGGATAAATATTGGGCTTCTACAGGAGTTCCCATAGATTTCTGAGGTTTCCTCACAGAAACCCATGTTCCTTGGGTCTGGATCAGTCCCATGCTGGTATTCCAGCTATCAGACTGCAGAGCAAGAATTCCCAGATGTTCAGGTCAGCTGTTTCTGTGGGGTTTACCACCCTGGTCTGGACCTCTGTGCTCTTCACTGGTCCTTCTCTGCATCTGGGTTCCAGTTCAAATCGGTGATTAGTTATGGGTGTCTGCTTCTACTTCCACCAGCTGCTGGATGAAGGCATATAAGTCAGTCATCAATCTCATAATCAGGGGAGGGCATTTAAGGAAGCCTTTCCTCCATTGCTGAGATAGTTAGCTGGTGTCATCTTTGTAGATCTCCAGACTAGAGCCAAACATTTTTTATTAGTGTACATTGTACTACTTACTGGTTAGAAATAGATGAAATGAGGTTATATAATTCTGCTATTGGCAGAGGCTTTACGATCTAAAACTTTAGACCAAAAAGAAGGTGTGGTTTCTATTTTCAGTGTCAAGTGATTCTCCTTTTTCCTGTTTATCTACTCTCAGTAGTGATGCAGAAGAATGGAAGTCAGATGTAAGCCTAGAATAGAACTGAACTAGCAGGCAGCCACATTTGGAATTCTATCTGGATCCAGATAAAGTATTTGCTCTCTATGGTCATTCTTAAAGAAAGTTGTATTTTTGAGGAACCATGTGCTACTTTATCAGTTTTATGACACAGAAGATGACTGACATGTAGACTTGATAGGAGGGTTAATCATATTGGCAATATGATCCTTTACAGATGCTGAGAGCAAGTGAAGATAGAACTTAAAGTCTGAAATCCCTTTGTGCTTTTTAAGTTAATTAAAATATCAAAACTATATACATATACTATAGTATATACCAAGGTTTTTATTTGTTTACATTTTTGTTCCTGAATTGCTGGAATTTATAATATTTTTCATACGAACTAAGCAATAATCACTTTTAACAAAAATTTTGTTCCATATGTTAGAGCTATCTTTAATTTTTTCAAATGTCCAGAAAACAAATGCTTTTTACAGTAGGATATTAGGGTTTATTGTAACTACAGATCTGCCATTATGGTGTGAGCCGCGTATAACCGAATGAGCATGACTGAATAAGGTTTAAACCTCTTTTTTGTATATTTCTACCTAGATTTTAAGTGGAAAAATCACTTTTTTTGAGTGTTAAAGCTGCCATAGTAGGCAAATGTGGCAAATTTAGCCCCACACATTCTAATCAAATTAATTTAAATAAAACAGAAATTATATAATAGTAGATCCAATAGGAAGTTATGAATTTTAAATGGGTGACTTCATCTCCTGTGTAATCCAATGTAGTGACTTTCATATAAAAATACCCACAGGATCCATGGTACTTTAATTTTAGATACTTAAAACAAGCCTTTCCCTTCCTTCCCTTTCTGATTAGTTTTTTTTTTTTTAATTTTATTAAACATGACTCATCACAATTCCCCTTCATCCTGAGTTAGAACCAAGAGGTAACTAGGAACTAATGTCTAAATTTTGACTCTACCATAGTAGTCTTCTTGGCCTACCCTTTTCTGGATCATTATTCCTCTTTCCTTCATTGGGTTAATTCTTTTTTGGAAGCTAGTGGGAAATATATATGCAAATATGTTTAAGATCTAATAGAAAGAGTATAATTATTTGTGGCTTCCTGACAAAGATGACTTCTGAGTGTCTTTTAAAGACAAGAGGTGTGGACTGTGTGAGAGTAGAAAAGGTGAAAGTTTATAATTAGAGTAATAGAAGCCAAAACATCACAATAAGTCTCCCTGGAATATTAGGCTTAATCAGATGGTTGTGAACAAAGGTACATCTTACAAGAAAGGTTGCCCAGAATAATTACTAAAATGGTGAATTCTTTAGTTCCTTAAATATAAAAATAGAAATAATGAGGGTATATGTCTGCATTGTTGCCACTATTGTTAGCTCTTTATAGATTTTCTATGAAACAGTTTAGTATAAATAGTGCTGCTACTTGTCATTAGTGATAATTGTTCATGTATTTGCAAGACAAGAATCACTACTTTGTATATTCATGAATTATTATGTTTTACTAATTTCATTAATTGCTAATAGCAACTCACCAGTTATTAACAAGGAAAAGTTTACAATATTGTTAGAGTAGCTAAGCAAAAGAAAGAAAAAAGTTGTTAGTATTTTAACAAATAATGTTTAGAATTAGCAATGCTTTAATTTTTTATTGTTAGGTATATAAATGTCTTTTAAGCCTCTTTTATATATATCTATACCTAGATTTCAAGTGGAAAATATCACATTTCTGAGTGTTAAAGCTGCCATAGTAGGCAAATATGGCAAAGTTTATTTTATTAAAAATTATTCATGAATTTGTATTTACATGCTGTTTTATTTGCTATAAATAACATCATAATTTTGTTTGCTTTTTTTTTTTCAGTTGTTCTGCAGGTCTGCAGCCTGGTCCTTTACCCAATCAAGTTCATTGAAACTGTGAGCTTGAAAATTTACCACGAGTTCAATTGGGGTTATGGCCTGGCCTGGGGTGCAACTATATTTTCATTTGGGGGTGCCATCCTATATTGCCTGAACCCTAAGAACTATGAAGACTACTACTAAAACCAAGTCTCAATACACACATATGCACGTGCGCACGCATGCGGGCGCACGCGCACACACACACACACACACACACACACACACACACACACACACACAGAAACCAATCATCCAACAAAAGAGATTTATGTCGGCATCTTTTCTAACACTGTTTTCTAAAACACTAGTGGAGCATCAAGCAGTTTGCTAAGTTGATTTAATGTCCTTTGCCTTTTGGCCATCAACATCATAACTGCACAAATAAAGATGCTGATTAGATGTAGGCACATGCTTCAAACTACCAATATGCTCATGCCATTTTTCTTATCAAGTAAAGGGTCTGTATGATAGCAACCATTGTAAGAAACTCGTTGGAATGAAATTTGTCAGAATCTCTTATTGACTGCAGGGGAGCAGCTGGCATAGGAAACATTTAAAAGTTCCTTTGCCCTGGCAGAAATTCTACTGTTGGAGCCCATATCACCTGTGTATACCACACAGTGACTACATGGGTTATTGGTTACTTGCTTGAGTGAGCTTTTTAAAGCAAAACTGCCTTTTGGCCATCAAATGATAATCAAAGACATAACTGGTAATTCTACCTTTAGGGATGTTTTTGTAAATGGCAAGCTATAGTTTGCCAATAAGGAAGTCTAAGTTTGGAGATATGTTTTTCATTATGTAGTACTGAAATTGTGCCTCTTTCTCCTCCAGAATGGGGCAAAATGAGAGCATCTGTATTCCCCAGGGCAATCAGGAAGAAATGTACAGGGGTTGCTTTTGTACCCTTTAAATCATTTACCTAAATTTGCAGCAAACAATTGTGCATATGTAACAAGCTTATTTTTCTAGACTGTGAGCCATTAGTATAAATGGTAATAAGTTTATTAATCCTCCACATACATGTTCCTATCATGCATATAATCAATACTTGCTCTAGTGAAGATATTTGAACACTAACCTTGTGTGCATTAAGAGGCTTAGATCAGTATTCACAGTTATTTACCATACAAAAGTTCATATACCTTAAAGGTTTTGCTCTATGTTCTCCATTGAATCACTGGAAAGTGTTAATAGAATTGCCTAAGAAGAAAAATTGAAATGCTGTTAATCTGAAATTTAATGATTCTTTTATAAGCACTGTAGTTTAAAAGAAAGTAGGAATTAGGATGATCACTTTGTGTAAAATTCATTAAAATACAAGGCTGCTATTTTTGGAAGTATTTTAAATGTCTTCATTTTAAAAGAACACAATAGTGATAGATTTCTATAAATGTCTAATGTCTCTGTAGATGTGTAGAATGTATGCAATTGTCACCTGGTCCTCTGAAGTTAACTGATGGGCTAACTGATTTGTGCACACAAGTATGATGAATTTATGTTAGGGAAATCATTCACTGATTCTACCAAGGGAAGAAAATATCAACATTAGGGAAAAAGTTTGCAATTAATTTCCTACTGCAAACTTGTGTTCATTCCGTTTATTATACAAATCTGGGTAGTTTAAGTGTAAACCTATTTTTATATAAAATATACAATTCTGATATGAAAGTTATAAATGATTATTTTTGTTAACAGAGACACTAAAACAAGTATGCTCTCTTGTGACCCTCATGAAGAAAGAAGCATTGGGGACAAAAACTTTAAAATGTACCTATTTGCTAATATATTATATAATCCAATAAGAGCAGGACAATAGATTTCAAAAATTTGCTTTACCTCCCAGAGCAGACTTCTGCTTTCAGCTTAAGAAGGTTACCAGAAACAATAGTCTTTCCCTGCCCCCAAAGGACTTTATTCAAATGCCAAAATCAATTGTGAAGTTTGTGTGGAATCAGAAAGTAAATATGAATACCTTAGTCATAGGTATTTTAGTAGTGATAAACAAAAGTTATTAAATGCATCATAGAGATCAAACTTTATGAAAGTGTGTAATTCAATCAAGCATCATAAGGAAATGAATGGAAAATTTCCAGATGGCTATTAGTGTTGTAGAATATTTTGAAATAGCTTTCTTAAATTCATAAAATCTGGGGCAGACTCTTATAAAGTTCCTTGCATATTGTCAGAACAGTATGAGGAATATGATATTTGGATAGGGATTTCAACTACTGACCATGGTCTGTTTTGAGATGATCTCTTTATTCTTGAATAATGGAAGATCAGTACTATGGTGCTGGCACCAATGAGGCTTGTTAGAGGATACAGTGTGCAGTCGGATGAGTGTCATATTTAGAGTATTATTGAAGTGTCATTCTCTGTCCACATGACAAGCCAAAAGGTGACAGAATATGTTACAGGTTGAAGCACACATATTTGTACTCTACTGAAAAGTAGATTTCTTCTTTAATTTTAACGAGCCCTACACAATATTTTTACCATGACTAGTATTTGGAACTTTTTCATTGCTAGCAAAGCTTAGCAGAAAATTGTTTTTCATCCAAAGCAGTATTGTGTCTATCAGAATAAACACAAGTGACAATTTCAGCTATAGTAGCATCATGTCTTTGTAGCTTTAGGTTTGTTTGGTATTTTCTTAAGCAGAATTGTTAATCAGAACCCATGGTTTATCTTAGAAAGATAATATACAGAGACAGAGAGAGAGAGAGATATCATAAAAGTATTCAGCAGGGCTAGTTATTCAGATTTCTTGCACAAGTATTTAGCTTTTTGTAAGGTCAACATGTAAATTTTAAAGACAAATATAGAGAGACTTATGTGTTTGAAATATAAATGATATATATGGATTAGCATGTACCTGTATATTATTAAACACACAGTAAACTGACTGGTGAGTGTCTAATTGTATTGCTAGCAATGTAATTTATTCAGACTGTATTTTTGTACAGAGCAGTGCACACTAACCTATGCCTCTGTGTCCTCCTTAATGCCTAAAACTGTGCCTAGAAATTTCATCTGTCTTACAGAAAATAAAATGTACTCCATGCTGTTTTATGCTATTAGTTCCTCTCCTACTAGTCTGTATTTATTATTTTTAAATATCTGACATGTTTACTACATAAATATGACTTTATGGTATTCTGGTTCCTTTTTTGTTTTGTTAACAGTCATCTGGTGAAACCTTTTTTTCACTCCAGTGATTCTTGAATGTGCAGTCCCATGATCATTTCTTCATTTCATGATTTTTGTAGTTGACCTGAAGTTATCTATGTGGAAGAAATAAAAATAAAAGTGGTTTCACTGATAATGCTCTCATTGAATGTCTTCTCTTCTCTGTCAACCCTGTAGACAAAACTTCTAAATTGCATATCTTTGGTTCATTTTGTACTTTAAAATAAACAGAAAACCCAGCATAATATGATACATTTATAGTTTTGTTTTAAAATCATTAGTGTATATTTGTTGTATAAGGCAAATGATTTTACAGTGATGTTTTTATGAAAGGGTATCACTTTTCCTGTATCTTCACCTTTCTTTCTCCTATGTTATGATCCACTGCCTATTCCTAAATGAAATTTTCTTTTGATTTCATGGTGTGTGTGTGTGTGTGTGTGTGTGTGTGTGTGTGTGTGTGTGTGTGTGTGTGTGTACATGTGTGTGTATGTTTTCTTTTTTCCTGTGCAGTGGATGGATCCTGGGGTATCTACACATGCTGGATAAGCATGCTACTACTGACTTACACCCTCAGCACAAAAATAACATTATAGCTTTTTTTAAAAAAACATAAAATCTCATCTATGATCCTTCCTGTCTTTCACTAATGAGTCTAATGAAGAATCAGTGATAACATCAAGGACAATTTTCTTCCTGTTTTGAAGCTGTTTGCATTAAAATGTACAGTCAGGCTATGATGTATTTTGCAGATTTCAGTTTTTGCAGATTGTATTAGAGCATATTTTTGAATACCCCTTTTAAAGAGGCACTCCTGAAATTCAGTGTGGATCTGTAAATAGACTTCCAAATATCTTCATGAAAAACATGTGAAATCAAAATAAGTATCTACCACTAACCATTTGTTTATATAAATAGTATGCTTAGAAAGCAATGTCAATGAGACATTCATGAGAATTCAATTGTATGTTTACCAGAAAATTTGCCTGAAGATATAAGTAGAATCACTCTATTGACAAAATTTCTTCAAAATGCCAGTTTGAATATAAATGTATTTGTCACAGATTTTTTTAAATATCATGAATCTTCAAATTTGTGGCATTTAAAATTTTCTTCTGCTATGATAGCTAAAGTAATGTGTAATAGTACAAGCTAAAACACACATATTACATTTTTTTTTATTAATTTTTTTCTTTTTTTTTTTTTTTTTTTTTTTTTTTTTTTGTTGGAGTGATTTTCCTTTGCAGTTACCTGGCATCACTCATTGTCTGTATTACATTTTCAATATAATGCTTACCATTTTTATGGAAATTTCTCTTGAGAAAATCACCTTTATAAACATGTCTTGCCTGGTAATTACGCATGACCTAGTTTCTCTGAATTTGCAGACGTGGAATCCTAGCTTCATAGGATGTGACAAGGAAAAATCCTTTAACTTCAGAGATTTCATTGTGAACATGCAAGAGGAAAGCAATTTCAATTTGTTTTCCCATAATGGCCATGTAGCATGAGCAGTCAGATTAATTAAGTCAAGGCTGTACTATGTCAACAACGTTCCATTTCCCTAATTTCAGTCCTTTTGTTTAGAAAATAAAATGTTGGCAAAATTGTGTATCCTGAAAAGTCCCTTAAGACATTATCAAATTTTCATGTTAGGACTTACTGATAAGAGGGTTTCAGAAGTGCAATGTCATCTGAGATAAAATTGAAACTTTTAATGAAAAATTAAATTTAGGGCTTAGGAATACATATTTTCACGGGTTCCTAACTTCTTTTTGAATGACTTAAATCATCTGTCAAGTTTTGGGATATAATATCCAAATAGCATAGTGAAATGTTATCAATTTTCTAATGTAAGAAAGTTGAGTATTGTTAAACTGAATAAGCTTTACTCTGGGCAAAGGTGGTGTCCAATATAGATTGTATGATGTACCCGAATCCATCTAAATATTAGAATGTGTACACAGACTTGGAAAAATCCATTTTCATCTTCACAAGGTAGGTGATTCACATTTATATTCCAGAAGTATGTCTAAAGGTTCCAAAGTTTAGTTAAGGGAACAGTAGCTGGACTGTTCAAGTGGAAAGGATAATATGTGGTGTTTCTAAGCCAAGATTAACAACACACAAATAATGGTCTTCTTTGTGAATCTAAGGCTGTGTTGAGTGGTTCACCAGAGAAACTCAATTTTGGCAGGCAATTATTTCCCAGTTGAATGACTTCATAGACTGGCTATAAAAGAAGCTTGGAACAAGTACTGGAAAACCATGTCATCAAACCACCGGAAAACTGTAATACTTCAATCTACACATGTCAAGTAAGCTTGGAACAAGTACTGGAAAACCATGTCATCAAACCACCGGAAAACTGGAATACTTCAATCTACACATGTCAAGTATTTATGAAGGTGTGTGTGTGTGTGTGTGTGTGTGTGTGTGTGTGTGTGTTGAATTTTTACATGAGTGAGGATGCATCTGCTGGTGAACTAAGGGAGTATTATAGTACCTTATAAATGAGAGACAACCAAATATGGAGGTAAAAGTAAATCATTTCATGTGTAAGAGAGTGGTTCATTATACTGCCCTCAGTTTGCCTTGAATTTATTATAATAAGAAATACCAATTGTCTGTAGAATATGATTTTTAAATAAAAAGATAGTCTACAAATAAAACTAAAAGAAAGAAAGAAATATTTGAAACCCAAGCATTTGTCTTAAGATTGTTAGGAACAGGAGCTTAAGTGTTAGGGTTTGTATTGATATATTTATGATTTATTAAACCTTGCCTGAGGATTCAGAAAGCAAAATTAGCCACAAACCATAAAAGGTAGGCAGGCACACACCATTAATCACAGCAGCTAGGAGGTGGTGGTATTCACCTTTAATCCTAGGATTCAGAATTAAGAAATAGATGGATCTCTCCAAGTTTAAGGCCATCCAGGGATACATGAGATTGAATCAGCCTAAAAGAGTAACAGAGTTCATGCCTTTAATCCCAGAATAATGGAGGTATGTAAGACAGGAATACATTCAGTAGGAAGCATTCATTCTCCAGCCATGCTGAGGAGACGCTACAGTTTGAGGCTTGATGAGAGCTTGTGGAGATATGATCATCCAATTCAGCCTGAGTTAGTGGTAAGAAGCTAGAGGCCAGCTGCTTTGATTTTCTGATATTCAGCTTGAAGTTTGAACCCCAATATCCCTCTGCAGTTCTTTATTGTATTACACGTGTTAAATGAGGTAGAAGTACTATCTTGCTGGTTTTGATAACTTCATGTTAACTACAAAAGCAGAAATACTTGTAAATTCCCTACGCAGGCTTCTGTACTACAGTCAGAGTAAGCCACCTTTTGCTTAAACTCTGAGATAATATGCCAACTTGTAACATAACGCTTTTCAGTTATCAACCTCGAGGTGGTTGTTCCTCTTAAATATTATTTAGCTAATATGTTTGTATTGATTTGACGTATGTAGTATATAAAAAGAAAAAAACAAGTTGTTATAAAAGTTTTAGTACATCATGTTGAAAAATGGGCCTCTTATTTGATGAGAAGCTGTGAATTCTTTTGACCACTGGAACATATTTGACATAAATAAATATGACATGATGTACAAATCCTTATGTAGAAATAAAGTTTCATATGTAGTTTCCAGTTATATTCTCTGAATGAAGACTTAGTATTTTTAAATGCTTGCTTATGATAAAAAAAAAAAAACTTTGGAAACATCTATTGCTCAGGTTTCACTGAATAACCCTCAACCATTTGCACACATATTTTTGCTAAACTTTCACAATGTGGAATTCTTTAAATAACTTTCCCTCACTTGTCAGAGTTATGTGGAATATTTTCTTAGCTAACTCTGAATGTCAGTGAATATAAGGGAATATTTACCTAGGCATTTCTGCTTTAGGAAACTCCAATGTGAATCAAACTATTGTAAGCTACTGTCAATGATTGCATGGCCTCTTTAAACCAGAAGAAATGCATCAGTTACCACAAAACAAAAAATTAAACCATCTACCTCACAAAACCTAAAGCACTATCTGGCTTCTCTTGGTCCTAACTGACTTTCATAGTATTTAGAGTAGGAAAAAATATAATAAACTTTGGATAAAGTTAGTCAAACTTTCATTCATAAGGATATATATGTACACATTCTACACATTTATGTACTTAAAATAGGTTTTCAATATCTATTTGGGTATTGGAACATTTTGTAAATTGCAATATGTGAAAATACAATGTTGATGTCAAAAGTAATGGTTGTGGAAAATAACCTACAGGGAAAGGTATCAAGCAATTGGGTCTTCTGGATGTTGACATTTACTCATAGCTATATGCAATAAGGCAGTGTAGGTATGAGAAAGAGTAAAAATCAAAACATTTGATGTAATTGACTTGTTTTGGAACTTATGGTCCTCCCATAATGATTTCTCTGTGAAAAATAGAAGAGTTGGCAGTCAGCCATATTTGCACCACATGTTCTGCACCCTGGTCAGAGATGATTAAAACAGAGAGGCTTCCTGCCTTCAGCTAGCCCCACTCCAATTTTTCTTGCTCATTAATTTGAAATTGGTCTCTGCATGTAGCTACTAATAAAAAGGGCAGAGAATGTGGGGTTTAGGGTGTTTGCAGAGATTCAAAGAAAACAAACTAGAAAATGAAGGAATGAAATGAATACAGAGAAAGGTGAAAAAGAATTGTGTGGAAACAAGAAAAAGTATCCATTCCTAGTAATATGAAGCTATCTTATGTTCCATAAAAAGCTCTTATCTTTCTAGTACAATTTAATTTTGATGAACTAAATCGAGTCAGACACAGGAGAACCATATTCAGGTTATGTTAAGATTCCAAAAAGGAATTACAAAATCTATGGACATTTCTTAACACATTTCCATCTGATCCTAGGGTGCTTAATGATTGCTAGCAACTGAGGTTTATTAGTTTCACAGTAATATTATAATTGTGCTACTTAGGCTCAAGTGACCTGACCCTACATAGAATCAAACATGTGTTATTATATTTGATAGTATATACTATGAAAGATTCTATTTATCCCCCACCCCCTTCTTGGAGATGAAATTGCATGGTTACTTTAA